TATGAATGAGAGAGGAAGAGTATTAATTATTACTTGTGTGAGTGTTCTCGGCTGTGGCGCGAGCGGGATCTGGATCGAGATCGGTGCCGCCGGCGTCTGTCGCGCTCTTTGGAGCGAGAATGGGAACGGCGCTTCTCTCGCGATGCGGAGCGGGAACGTCGGCGTCTGCGCTCTCGATCACGTTCACGAGAACGAGACCTAGAAACAGTGAAAGGAAAAACAGGCATGAACAACTGCTACATGCATGAGATTAGAGAAATGTCCAATGCTACAATAAAAGCCTGTTTTCTTTTATCTTTTTAGTCATTTGCAATTATAAGATATGGATTTTATTTTGATTTAGGCTGATTTGACAATGAATCATTCTGATTAATATGCAAACTAGTTCAACACATTGAAAAGAACAATTTGCTCACAAACCTGCTATTGCTATGGCTTTTTGGGGAAGTTTTAACATTTAAAAGCAGTTGATAGCCAGTGAGATATTTTAGAGAGCCTAGAAAAATCTACGATAGAACAGAGTACAGACATTCAAAAGGTTTCAAGATTTTATTAATCCCCTCAAAGTTCAAATTTTTTAAATGCCCTGACATTTCCACGACTGTCGAAACCATTATTCTTACGTAGCACAATGTACTTGTGGCCAATGCACAATGTTCTTTGACTTAATCTCAGACCTTGATTTGCATGTTTGTTGTAATAACTGACATAATAGACATGAAAATAAATGCTGAATGAACAAGTGATTGAGCAACTGACCTCTTGCGTTCTCGGCTGCGTGACTTAGTCCTACAGGGAAAACCAGACAAGAATAACAATTATTTTGGTCAACATTGCAATCACTATTTAAACTGACTACTCATTGACTTTGGAAACTTTCTTAAATCTTTAAATAAATACATTAGTCTTTTTAACAGTGGGTTTCCTTGAACTTCAAAAACTGAAAAACAAAAACAAGTAGATAAAATTAACACATTTAATTATTAATAATAAATATACATTTAAATATCGTATGAAAATAAACTAGCAAACCAGACTTTCTTTTTTTTTTACCAGCATTTTACAACAATGTAGTATCTTAGAAATGCACACAATCACATGAAAATGTGCATAAAATATTTTCAAAACGAATGATTTTAACAGGTGATGTCTTTGAATTTTAAATTCAAAACATACAAAAATTACTACATAAAAATAAATAGGCAAACTAGACAAAGATCATTTTAGATTCTACCGTAAATTTCACAAAAATTAGGAATCTTAGAAATGCACCAGGTCACATGAAAATGTGTTTAAAATATTCTCACTGTTTTTTCATTTTCTCCTCTTTCTCCCGCTCTTCCCTCCTCCTCAGTCGCTCCTGGTTCCGTCTCTCCTGTTTGTCCTGCACGGTTTTCTGTAAAAAAATGCTGCAATGTAACCAATGACACCCCCCGCCAGCACCTCATTCAGGCCGACCCGTTACCTTCAGCTGTTCCAGCTTCTCTCTGATCTGAATGAAGCCCAGGTGCAGTTTGCCGCCAAAGTGGTCAGCGAGACGCCGGTCATTGTCATGGAGACCAAGATAGGCAGAGCAAACCTCACAGACGCGCAACTTCTGCTGCTGGAAACTGGAGGCGGGCATAGAGTTCCTGTACTCTTCCTGTAAATAAAACGATGACGATACTAGTAGCAGTTATTTATTTTTATTGCCATGTCAGAAAAACATCCAGAAAACACTACAAACTCACACTAGAGTAAGAGAGAGATTAGATTGTAAAAAAATTAAAAAGGTAACATCACATTTTGAATCAATGAAATGTGACAGCTTGCATATAAATAATATAGTATGCTGACGAACCTCTGCATCCTTCTTCTTAGTTCGGACTCTCTCAACCTCCTGTAGAACTGTCTGGGCTTCATCCACATTCCCCTCAGCGCCGAGCTGTTCAGCTTTCGCCAGCAGCTTCCCGATCTCCTCGTTCAACTCGTGAACCTTTTCTGCCTGCCAACCAAACACACAAGGTAAATAAGACACAGATCACACGACTCCATGAGTTCTTTATATAATCTAGGGACTTGAATACACAGCATCTCATTTTATTCAATCTCCTCCTTTTATTTGCACACAAAAGATCAGATTATTCATAAACTGAGAAAAGTAAAGAAAGGCTTGATTGTGCCAAAAATCATAATAATGATTGCTCTGATCGGTACAGAGATCGCAAATATTTACACTGATTACACACTAACTTGGGAAAAATCATGCATTTATTGACTTTTTTTTTTTAAACATTCAGGGTTATAATAACCAGGGCTATTATAGTAACAAAAACTTTTTTTAAATCATTGTGACTTGAAATTTTTCCACACTTCATACCTTTGCGGCCACCTCAGCGCTGATCTCTTCCTGTGTCTCAGCGAGACGCTTTTTGGCCAACTCAGTCCTGCGGTCACAGTCGGCAATAAACGACTCCAGGTGATCCACCGCCTGCACAACACAGATTCAGCATCAGCCTTTGCTGCAAATTCATTGCAAACACTAGCAGATGAGCTCGACTCAATACCGAATCACTTACATCCAGTTCGAAGAACAGGTCTCTCTCTTTAGACGCGATCTCATAGTCTGCTCTCAGCGCCAGGTCATGTATCTTAGAGCATTCGCCAAGGTCCATGCGCTACAAACACACGGCTTCATCAATATGCTGCACAAACACTCATCATCGACTGTTTTAATATGTTTTCCCTCACCGTTCCAGAGAGGATGTCATGCGGGCAGCAGTTGAGCAGGTGCGATTTGCAGACACGCTCGTCTGTGAATTTAACCCGCTGTCTCGACTCATCTCCTGTAAGGACACAGCACATAACAGACATTGAAAGAGACCACACACACACTCGCACGTGTCTCACACACACACTGCGTCTGCTACACACTGCTAACTTTGCGGCCAAGGGTCACACACCTGCCTGTCACTGCGGTGAAATCATGAGCTCTGACATATACGGAGCATGTGTTTGACTGTCGGATATAAATTGTGTTTCACAAGAAAGTAAAGGCTTTTCGTTCATGTACACTGAACAAAATGATAAACGCAACACTTTCATTTTTGCCCCCATTTTTCATGAGCTGAACTCAAAGATCTAAGACTTTTTCTATGTACACAAAAGGCCTATTTCTCTCAAATATTGTTGTGAAGATGCTGGATGTGGAGGTCCTGGGCTGGTGTGGTTACACGTGGTCTGCGGTTGTGAGGCTGGTTGGTTGTACTGCCAAATTCTCTGAAACGCCGTTGGAGACTGCTTATGGTAGAGCAATGAACATTCAATTCACGGGCAACAGCTCTAGTGGACATTCCTGCAGTCAGCATGCCAATTGCATGCTCCCTCAAAACTTGCGACATCTGTGGCATTGTGCTGTGTGATAAAGCTGCACATTTTAGAGTGGCCTTTTATTGTGGTCAGCCTAAGGCACACCTGTGCAATAATCATGCTGTCTAATCAGCATCTTGATATGCCACACCTGTGAGGTGGATGGATTATCTCGGCAAAGGAGAAGTGCTCACTAACACAGATTTAGACAGATTTGTGAACAATATTTGAGAGAAATAGGCCTTTTGTGTACATAGAAAAAGTCTTAGATCTTTGAGTTCAGCTCATGAAAAATGGGGGCAAAACAAAAGTGTTGCGTTTATCATTTTGTTCAGTGTAGATTGGAGATATTTAACTTACACTGACCCAAGGCCGCTTTCTTTAACTGGCTCCTTAATGTGAATGTCTAAAAATAAAGAGGTAGCATCTGATCACGGACCAAACCAAGAGGCTAGCAGTCCCTGTTATTATCAGTTATTTATTCTGTACAGCCACCATATAAATGCACCGATGTTTTCTACAGTGAGCATTCGGACTGGGTGATATAGCTCAAATAATGATAAAAATATTGATATTTTTCTGCATTTTAAGGTATAATTTAGTTATAAATTATTATTTAAAAATTATCACAAGATATTTAATTTATATGCACCAATATAACAAGCTAAATTTATTACAAAATCAATTAATACATGAAAATTAACATGTGCAAATGGAGTTTCAATCAGAAACACTACGTTTGGGAAGTTGAATGGTTAAAATATAAGCATTAAAATTATTGCACTGCTATTCAAGATATTGCGAAACATTATAAAGCCAGGAAAGAAAAAAAAACACACACACATCAAATGTTTTATATCACCCAGCCCTAGTTTGCATGATGCATCTACGGTTTTATAACAGCCAATTGAGTGCAAAGGTGTATGGGATAGCAGATCAGAGAGGGATGTCATGTTTCAGAGAGCCATCTTGTACTCAGTAATAGCACTAGCCCTCATGCGTACATACAGAAATGCTGCATAATCTAATGTGCATATTAAACCACAGTTGACCAAGTTGAAATAAGACATTGAAAACTAAAGTGAAAGGTTAATTGATACACACTGCGAGGTCTCTCCCATTCAGAACCCCTCCTGCGGTCCCAGCCTCTAAAAGTTTAAAGGGAAAAGCTTTTCTTGCCCAAACCTGTAATGAGGAAGTTGGGAATGATACAGAAGAATAAAAGTGCAGACGTCGGCGGAGGAATTTGAGTTTTCTTTCCTTTATTTTATTAAGTTAGATTTGAGGAAAGCCGCTCAGGCACAGCATCAGTGAACTACATCCGCCTGGGCAGAAGCTTCGTATCCTCTCTGCTCACTCTTACGTTACCAATTAGCGTGATGTGTAACACAGTTACTGCTGGAAAGCAAACAGTATTGTTTTTTCATATTCATAACAGCTTTAAAAAGCATTGGTGACTCACGGCTCGATGAACATGAGGCTTTTCTGCAACTCCCTTGCAGATGTAGGCTGGCAAACATACACTGAACCTTAATGAATAGAATAAAGGGGCCACAATTGTTCAGTCTGTATGAAACAAATGTACGGGAAGCATATGAATTCATCTCAGCATTCACACAGACAGTCGCTTCATTCACACGGAGGGTGAGATTTCTTACAGCCAGTAAAACTCAATTTAACAAATTCAAGTGCATCTGCTCAAGTCCCTTCGGTTGTTTACTCATCTTAAGCAAAATCCTCTTGAGCTGATCAAAATCACATCACAAAATCTAAAAGTCATATTTCCTCTTGGCAATGCTCCTTCAGATTTAATGCTTGCATCCATTTTTGGGGAAATTACTTTTCATATATAAAATCCCATTATTAATAGCTGATAAATAGAGAGAAGGCTGAAGATGCTTTATATATAAATTTTCATCATTTTAAATATATTTTATACATTTAAGAATATACATATTTCGCTTGTTTTGTTTACTGTGTGGAGACGTGCTGATATCGCGTTTGGTCTCATTCTGTATTGCGTATCTTGTCAGTGTCTGCGCTTGCTTGGCCATTTGTTGTGAAAAAATAAGGAAAATGTGTCCAAGCGCCAGCAGAAAACAGTGTAAAGAAATAGTCTTTGAGAGAAGCAGTCTTTATCAGCGGAAATTAAAAGCAGCTCGTAAGTGTATTTACTTGTCTCATTAGTGTGTAGTGCAGTTGTCGTTGCTAGGAAACGCTTGTTTTGTTTACTGTGTGGAGACGTGCTGATATCGCGTTTGGTCTCATTCTGTATTGCGTATCTTGTCAGTGTCTGCGCTTGCTTGGCCATTTGTTGTGGAAAAAATAAGCAAAGTGTGTCCAGCTGAATTAATTTATTATTTTGTTAGACGGGTATAAAAAAAGCTTACCGCGGCAGCCGTCGCATGTTGTATGAATTTGTCATTTTTATTTAATTTCTTTATTTTTAAAAGGTGTATAAGTTGTATTGATAAAGTTTTAGCTTTTAGTCTTGGATCTGTTTTTAGTTGTTTTAATACTACAATTGATTGCTTCTGTTGTCCTGATTTGTAAGTCGCTTTGGATAAAAGCGTCTGCTAAATGACTAAATAAATAAAAACATTTTAATTTTCACAATATTCATTTACTAAAGATATTTTCCAACTGCCCACACATATTCACTATTCACTGTAATATTTTACGATAGAATCCACTGACATTATCTTAGCATACGGAGCCGTGACGTCATTACTCCCCTTCATGGACACAAACATTAAACTGAAGCGTTTCAAGAGGAAATGCTGCTGCATTTAGCCAATCTTAAGACTCTGATATATATCTTAAGACATTGATTTTAATATTAGTCTGGCTCATTATATTCTGGTTTGGGTTAATCTGAGCGCGCGGCCTACAGAAATCCTCTCAGAGCCGTTAGCACGCGGCTAACACTCACCATCCCTCGACGTTCCCATCAGCTGATCCAGCAAAGCTTTCATCTGAGCCTGGGCCGACATCCTGACACGATTAACTCGCTCGCCTTACAAAGGTGATGGTGATTTTACCCTAAAATGAAAGTTTTAATCATCGGCGAACCGCTTCGCTCCAGTGTCTGTCGCCGCCGTCACTCTCTTCATTAGCGAGAGAGCAAACAAAACGAACTCAAACGAGTGAGCGGCCAATCAGAGCGCGCTACGCAATCTTAAAGAGGAAGTGTATTTTATATTGAATATATTTTACTATATATTATTATTATTACATTTTTTTTGTATTCTTTGTTTTATAAAATAAATAATAATAATTAAGAAACTCAAATGTATAACAAAACCTGTAACATACTTACTAACATCAATAATATTCAATTTAGCAGTTACAAAGATTAATTTTAACTAATCGTTTATATAATATATTTTACTATACTGAACAAAATAATAAACGCAATACTTTTGTTTTTGCCCCCATTTTTCATGAGCTGAATTCAAAGATCTAAGACTTTTTCTATGTATACAAAAGGCCTATTTCTCTCAAATATTGTTCACAAATCTGTCTAAATCTGTGTTAGTGAGCACTTCTCCTTTGCCGAGATAATCCATCCACCTCACAGGTGCAATATTTGAGAGAAATAGGCCTTTTGTGTACATAGAAAAAGTCTTAGATCTTTGAGTTCAGCTCATGAAAAATGGGGGCAAAAACAAAAGTGTTGCGTTTATCATTTTGTTCAGTGTATATTATTATTATTATTATATTTTTGTATTGTTTGTTTTCTGAAATAACTAAATAATAATAACTAGATAAAAAAGTTTGTCAAGACAAACTTTAAGGTTGGCTTGAGAAAGCCGGACCAGAAAGTTTGAAAAAGTTGTAAAAGTTTAAAAAGTTTAAGAAGTTTAAAAAAGTTTTAAGTTTGATGGTTTTCAGTCTGAAATAGTTTGAAGTTTAAAGTAGTTTTAAAAGCTTAAAGTTTGAATGTTTTGAAGGCAATACAGTCTGTCAGTCAGATAGATAGATAGATAGATAGATAGATAGATAGAAATAGTCAGATAGATAGATAGATAGATAGATA